TATATATATATAAGTATTTTACATAGTATATGATATGATATAATATAATCCTATTAGTTAGCTAGCTAGCTAGCTAGCTCTACCTCTTTGGCTGGGATCAGTTGTTCCTAGTCCCCACCTTACTGTTTTCTCAAAAAGAGCACTGCATATAATTGTCCAGAGAGTACTCCCGGAAATGAAGCTAAAAAATCTGAGTCTTTTTTTTGTAGAAAACTCCAAAGAACCTAAATGGATGGTCAGTCAGAACAATAGGGATTTTTGGGCTCTTGGCTCTATAGCCTGTAAAAGGTAGTGGAATCAGATTCAGATTCAGAGTCCTCCTCCCTTGGGAATGTGTAGTCTAGCTTCTTCGTTCTGTGCATCAACAGTGTTGCTTAATCTTAGTCTCACTCTCTCTCTCTCTCTCTCTCTCTCTTACACATAAACTCAAACACCACCAGTGCTGTGCTGTGTGTTAAATGCAGGTGGAGACACAGAGGCTACACACAGGGTTAACGTGTGTCTCTGCAACTTAACTCAGAGTTTTCCTTCCCAATGAAAGATGTATCCATGTGTATGTGAAACTCACCCTCTTAGGTCTATGCACTACCACTGTTTGTGCGTACTATTGTTGGATATCTCTCACTCACTCACATCATGGACACCAAAGAGAGAGAAAAAGTGCTTTATACACCTTATATTTATCTCATTTTCAGCATTTGCTTAAGTAAATAGTAAGTGTTAAGATTTTCTTAACAATGTTGGCCAGATATATAAAAATTACGAAATAACTTTTGATATGACAAAAGGGTTCAAGTATGTTTCAAGTTTATAATAAGTACTAGGTTTATGTTACATTGAGATGTGCACATTTTTCACTTGTGTGATTGGAAGCATAACAAAACTGAGTGGCTTAGAATAACGCAAAGTGCAAAAACCTGTTGGCATTGATGGTAATGAAATCAAAAATATAATAGTGTTTGGCTTTAAATTGTAGGGGTAAAGGAGTTGGGTGTGATTGAAAGGAATCAAACATCAACCGTCCATTCACCCATGTGATATTCCTTTGGGGAGATATTGGATCTTTATATACACACCACTTTTGCTTTTAGTATGATGGAATTGGTATATATTAGCCACTAGGAGGAGGGTTAGTGAGAGCAAGACGACACCGTTTTGTAAATTGGAATCCATGCAAAGACACACATATGTCAGAGGGGTCATGTCAATCTAATCAAAGGGAAATACATAGCAAAAGAAGGGCATGTTATATAAGATGTTGCCCTCTTTGTGGGACACTCCCTGCGTCCCTTCCTTTCAGTTTTTTTACTATTGCGTTTCCAACCTTACCCTACACGAATCATTGACAATTTGACATTTTGTGTTATGCCATTTTCTTTTCATACTCTCCTTTCATTTGAACAAATTCAAAATCATTTTCATAAATCCTACCAATTCTTTTATAAAAAGATAATAAAAAAACTTTATCATATTATAAATTACTTCTATAAATAAATTTAATGATCATACATCTTAAATTGTGAATAGATTATTGTTGGTATGATTTTTTTAGCTATTAATTATAAAATCCAACAAATTAAACTTATTCTTTTTATGAATATAAATATAAATGTAAATAAAATCTTTGAATATTCTTTTAAACTCCCGTAGTCACGAATACTTTTGGGTGAAAAAAGTATAATAAATGTGTTTTCTTTTAATATTTAATATATGCAATGTACGTGTTTCAAACAAATTTTTATTGTACCCTTCTAAAGTTCTAAGTGGGTTCTATGTAATCTATACCCTTCTCACATTTAAATAATAGAAAACATTATTAGTAAATAATTGTCTCAACAAAGAACAAAAATTATAGATAAACATTTAAAGAGATAATATTTATCACTAAAAATTATTTTTATTCATATTATAAATATAATATTATTAAAAATATAAATATAAAATATAATAACATATAATATATATTATTGAATTTTATTTAAAATTAATATTAAATTGTATATAATTATATATTAGATAAATTTATATCTATATATATATTATATTTATAGTAACATTTTTTTATATATCATTATATATAATTTTTTTTAGTATAAATTAGATAATAGATGTTTCATTTTTTTAATCATGCATACGAACAAACTTATTTGAAAAACCTCATTTTATAATATTTACAAGAAAACAAATTTCACTTTAAAAAGTATTCCGAATATACGGTTAAACACACAAAAATAGATAGTAGAGAATATCTTAGTTACACTTATTTCACCATGTTTGTTTAAAGAAAAATAAGATGTACGTGGGGAAGTTAGAGGGGACAAAAATCAGATAGAAGTTATTAATTTCTTCCGTATGTTTATCAATAAAATGAAAGCGAAATGGAACTTTTTTAAAAAAAATCTTGCATGGAGATTGCTTCCAACCCTTTTAGGCAGGGAACTGGTTCCATTTTAAGACAATATTTTTTTAATATATTTTTATAAGTAATTTTTAGAAAATAATAAAATTAAAATCTTAATTAATGAAAATATTTTATGTAATTTATTTTTCCATTTTTTTCACTTGTCCAAATAAATAAATAAATAATTCTACTTTTTTCCTTACTTTATCTATCTAAAACAATATATTGCTTTCTTTCTTCCGATTTTTTTCCCCTTCCTATTTCATTGCTAATCTATGTATAGATTTGTTAGTCCTAGCTCCCATGGATCCTTATCGGTATGATGAAAGTGGAATTTACTTATTATCCTCATCCAACAATGGAATGACATGTGGTCCACACTCCACAGAATCGGCCAGAATCAAAGATGAATTTATTTACTTGCCAAATATCATATGTCAACCTCTTGGAAGAAATCAAATTCTATAATTCCAAGACATGGATCGGATATCCTCACACGTTTAACAAGTGCTTTAGAACTTACTATTACTAACGTAGGATTTACTAGTCACACACATAAAGTAGCTTTCTCCACTTCACACACATATGATTGACAAATTTTATCAATTAAGTTTTTATCAAAAAATTAAAGATCCACTTTGTTTCCTGATAGCTGATCGATGATATATAAGAATGTGAGATGTCTCACTATTCAATTGTAACAGTGTAACAATATTCGAGAATTTTGTGTCAAAATAATTAATGCATGCATGTGTACGATATCTTAATTAATTAATTTTTTTTAGAAGAATGTCAACCACGGAAGTAAAGGAGATATTGATTCCATTTAAAGGTCTTTTATACGAAGGGTTTTCTTCTTCTTTTTTTTTTCTTTCTTTATTTTTGGTGTTACTAAGTTTTTCTTGTATTTAAGAATAAGAATTAGAAAGAAGGTTATCATGCATAAATTTTTATATGCCGTCATTACCTATAGATGCATATCAACTATGCATATAATTAACAGCAATACATGTTGTGTTTTTAAGGAAAAGAAAAACATCCAAATTGTTCAATGGAAGATAAGAATATGAGCTTGTTGATTCCATTCGATGAGGAAGATATAGTGATAAAGATGTCTCGGGAAACTCATCTTTTAAACGACAACAATGATCTGTTGATGTAAACAAAATGTAATAAAGGTGATATAGAGTAACCCTCAAGCTTTCTTTGGGATTCAGTTGGATAATGACTTCCAATTCTATATACATTAATATATGCTTCATGAAATAATAAAATTTTAAGAAGGGGAGAATGAAAAAAGGATTTTTATTTTAACAGAATAATATACTGATAGACTAATAGTACTTAATTAGCCTGATTAGTAGCGTATTTGTTTTACCGTTTAAATATTATTTAACGGGTTTTTTTACACTTTTCAAAACAAAAAAGTAGAAATAAGGGAAGGGATAAATTACAGTTCAGTTTCATTCAACATGAAAACAAACATGCTATAGGTGTGTGTTTGGATTTCAGTTGAAAAAGTTAAGTTTAGTTGAACTTAATTTTGTGAACTTAAGTTTAGTTAAAAGTAAGTTTAGAATAACTTGATTTATGTTTGGGTACTTTTATTGTAGAAGTACTTTGTTGAAATAAAAGTTGTTTGGATAATATTAATGAAAAGTACTTTCACATGTATGATTACTAAAATGAGTATATATTTTATAATGATATTAATATTGTTTATTTTGTTATTTAGTATATTTAAATTGATGAAAAAAATTTATTGTTATTATTTTATATTTTGATATTAATATTATTAGTCAAACTTATTTTAATAATTTTTTGTTATTAAAAAAAATCAAATAAAAATGAATACAAGATTGAATTAAGTACAATAGAATACATAAAGGAAAAATACAACAACTAATTGTATATACTCCAAAATAAAATACAAGATAGGAAAATATAAGCGTCTAAATAAATATAAGTTACATATGACTTATAATTTGATCTCTAATTGAATCTCGAACAAGATCTATCTCTGTTGAAGATGTCACAGTTAAAGGTAAGGATTGATCTTCACTAATGTGATTATCATTCTCGTACTCATCTATATTTTCATCTTCATAACGCTTAAATTCAGAATCAGTTTCAGATTTTCTCCTAATAAAGTTGTGTATAGTCATTGTTGCGCTAACTATTTGAACTTGTGTTTCAAATTTGAACTTTGGCATACAACGTAAAATTGCAAACCTATTTTTCCATACCCCAAACGTTCTTTCAATTGTGCATCTTAAGCTTGAATGGTAATAATTGAACACCTCATTGTAATTTTCAAATCTAAATGAGCGCCTGAAATCAGGAAGGTGATACCGTTCACATTTATATGGACCAACATATCTTATTGGTGTTGGATAACCAAAATCCACCAAGTAATATTTACCTAATAAAAAATAGAATTGTTGTCATGTAAATTATAATTTTAATATAAATAAAATAAATAATAATTACAAGAAACATATACCTGAAGGTGGATGTGGGAAATTCATGGTTGGAGTTGTGAGGGCATTCTCAAATACTCGCACATCATGTGCGGTGCCTTCCCATCCCAGTAATGCAAATATAAAGCACATGTCCCAATCACAAAATGCCATCACATTTTGTGTTGGATATCCTTTTCTTCCAATAAATTTAGGTTGTTCACTAGGACTAATTACACATGGGATATGAGTACCATCAATTGCTCCTATAGCATTTTTAAAAAATGGCCAATATCGTCGATCCTTTTGAATTTTTGTATGGACATGGTGAAACCTATAATCTTGTGGCTTGATGTATTCAAAGGCTAGTTTAAGACAAGCAACTAGTACCTTGTGGAAATGCCTACTTACTGTCTCTCCTGAGTGTTGAAACCTTTCTTGTATCATCCTATTACCTACTCCATGACCAACCATGTTTAAAAACATTGCTACCATTTCTTGAACTTCCATTTGTTTAGTTGCTTTTAAGCCACATTCAACTAATTCAAAATAAAGTTGATTAAATACGTGTTTTTCCATTCGAAACATCTCATAACAACGAATGGGATGTCCTTGCAAAATGTCTTGTACCCATGAATGACCAGTTTGATCACTACTTCTACATGGCTCTTTACATAAATATTTGATTGCATACTCACTAATTAATGCACTGACATCTTTGTGCCTCATTCATATCCTCTTGTAAAATAGAAATTAAGGTAGATTCTTCATTTCGATCTTCCACATACTCTTCATTCCTATCTTCCATTGATGCTTTAAACCTGTTAGTGTAAGCAAGCTTAAGTGGGAAAAGTTAAAATTGACTTAACTTGTAATGAAAATTAATGCACTTGTGGTATCAACTCAAGTTTAGTAGAAAATTGAAGTTATTCAAGACAGGAAATCACACAAATTTTTTTTGACGCACCTTTACCTAGTTGGTCTTTATGTCAATGTCATTTTGAATGTGGTGTTTGAAACAAACTTCTGCATATTATTATGTCATACATGACATGTATCAATAGTATTATTGCAAACATGTTATTTGGATCCATTAAACTTGTATAATAAAATACTATTATTTGCAAACATATTACTATTCTACCAAGGAAAAGTCCCCTGCACGTAAAGTTGATCGCAACTTTTTGATTCTTATACTATAACTATTTGGCTAAAAATTAAACAAGAAGTATATGCCGGAAGGTGCGTGTTACGGTATGTTTGCATCCACGTGTATATATATATATATATATATATATATATATATATATATATAAATATAAAAAAAGCGTAAAAAGGAAAAAGAGAGTTGGAGTGTGGGAGTAAAATAAGAAAAGGAAAAGAGGGGGTCTCAGAGAACTTAATCTCCACGTATATATATATATATATATATATATATATATATAAAGATAAAAAATAACACAAGCAAGTGCAGATATCATATAAAATATAGACAATGTACATTGTAATACAAATATCAGATAAAAAAAGTATTGATATCAGAAAAGTATTAGCACTTCAAAATAATTCTTAATTCATGCTACATAATCATCCTAATTCCTGCTATATCTAAATAACATCAGCATTCTAATTCCTACTACATCAAAATAATACCAAACAGATCTTGATCCCTTCCAAAATAACATTAGGATCCTACTTTCTGTCATACCAAAATAGCACAAGTCTAAATTTCAACTATACCAAAATAGTATCATTCTAATACAATGATTTAACTAACTTTTCATGGATGGTAATGCATTATAAGCTGCATACTTTAGCCAACCCAACAGCCTTTGTTTATGTCCTTTTAAAGCTACAAACATTTCTCTAGCAGACTTGGATAACATAAGTTGAGAGCATCTGGCATGCCAATCGTCATCACTTGTAATTTCTATTATTTTGTCAAGTTCATCCATCACTTCAGGAATTGATGTGCCAAGTACTACTAGTGTGTTTAGAGCATTTGAACGTGACTCAGATGTAGATGCAATTCTACTTATTGCTTCAGCTATTTTTTTTGAGGCAGGAGCTTTCACATTTTTACTTTCATTTTTTTCAGAAGCTCCAACCCTTTTCCTCTTGCCAATGCTTCTTTCACTATTGCTTCCTTCAGAAGTGCTTAAATTAATATTTCGCAATTCAGAACTCATTCCAGCACTAGTGGGTATAATTTCTTCACTATCTCCTGATCCTTCCTCTATATCACCACTCTCAAAGCATGGACGATATACATCATCTTCACCTATATCATTAGGTAATATCCCAAAAGAAGGTACCCAACTGAATTTTCCATTAGCCACCACATCCTTGAATAATGTAGTTAAATCATTGGCAAAAGCAAGTCCTTTATATATAAATTTTCCATAAAGTGGATTTTCCTGTATGTTACAACTAATCAACATATTGTATTACATAAAGGAATTTAAAAACTTCTAACTTCACATTAAAAGACTTCATACCATTTGCTTTTTATCCCACCACTCGTCTAAAGCATCTACTGTATTCCTTACATTATCCCATCCTAAACCTGTTTCTTTTCCAAACAACTTGTACCATATTGACCATTCCTTCTTAAGATTATCCCATTTGTTTCTAAATTGACTCTTGCCATATTTTCTTCCACTTTTCATGTTGAATTCAGATTCAACGAATTTCCACCCTTTTTTTGTAAGGTTAGTACCATTTCGTTCTCCTTTATAAACTTGATCCAAGCATAATTTAACAAACATCTCGGTGACTTTCACATCCCATGCAGCTTTTGCCTTAACACCTTCATTATCAACAAGAGAAGTATCTACAAGACTTTTTCTCTTGTCGTTACTCATTAATCTATTATAAAAAAATATCACAATTCATTTATAGCCTCATTCAACTTAGTATAATAAATTATAAAAAAATAATTCATCACAATAGTGTGCACATTTGAAGATAAAATCAACAATAGATGAATCTGGAAAAAAAAATCAACGATTCAAAAGAGATAATAACAATAATGAATTTAAAAAGTTAAGAAAACTTTTATGCACAAGAAGGGGAAATAACAAAATCTTACCAAGTTAGAAATCCAAAATCAGAGAGCCAACATGAAGATGAATCCAAAAAAATAAAAAAAAAGTTAAGAAATTCAAAATCAGAGAGCTCACATGTAGATGGATCTGGAACAAGCAGAGGAGGAGGAGGAGAAATTCTATATGTCCAAGCAAAAAATGTTTCAAATCCAAGTAATATACTAGATTTATTACTTCTTCAAGTTGGTGGGTGAGAGTAATGGTGACCGTTGCCAGTAGTTGAAGAAATTTAAATGTTACGGGTGAAAAGAGAATTAAGAAACGGAAACTTCTCGTTCAATGAAAAAGTAACATAAGTGTTGCTTTGGATGTAACGTACATTTTGAAGATAATAAAGTTTAACGTAAAGTAAAAAAAAATTAACAAACAAATGGGTACAACATTCAATGCAAACTAAACTTCCGTTTGGATGCCTAAACGGCAAACCAAACATACCCTAGATGTTAGACTTTTACCTTTCTTTATAGATAAAACAACATTTATTTTTTACAATAATATTCTTCTTATTATTAATTTTAATAACTTTCAATTAATAAAAAATGTTATATAGCAATACAATATTTGTTATTAAAAATTATTTTTAACTATATTATATAGATATAAATATGTTGATATATTGTTAAAAATTGTAAGTATATATTATATTAACACATAAAATATGTTATTAAATTTCATATAAAATTAAAGTGAAAATTTTGATATAAATATATTACATTATATTTGATCATTTGAATGATATTTGAGACACATATAAAAATTATGACTAGCGAAGCGTGTCCTCAAGCCTATTTAGGTTTTGTGTGATGTCTTGAAAAGACATGAATTTCGATGTATATGTTGAGCCATGGATAAATAACTTGGCAATTACGTTGGAAATAGGCACTGAATAACGTGTTTCACGTCCGACAAGATCAGAAGAAGGATCCCTATTAATTAATTGGACTGTGTTTCTCGTTCTTGCCATTGTCTAATTGGAACTAATTTCTGTATTGGCTAGTTAACCGATCGAATATTAATTCATAATTAATTAGGGAAAACAAGAAATTTTAATTTGTAACAGTATAATGAATACAATAACGATCACAATACGATAGTAATCATGCCAAGAATAACAGATAAATTAACCTAATTGTTATCATTTATATTTCCGTTATGTATTATTCTCTTTATTGTGTAATCAGTTACCACATGTACTTATAAATAGGTTAGTCCTCTCCCAAAGATAATACATCAGTCATATTCTTTTCTCCATCTCATACTGTCTTGTTTCTTCTTCCTACTTTTTCTTCCTTTTATAACACGTTATCGGCATGATAGTCTTTTCGCTATTGGTGGTGCAACGGTAAGATAAAGCTATGAAGAATTTTCATGAAGAAAACCATATTTTTCAAAACAAATATTTCAAGGTTAGTTATTCATCTACCACAATAAGAATTTTATCAAATATTTATATTGTTTACATTGTTATGTATTAAAGTAGTCTTGAAGACACTATAATAGTCCTGAAGACACTATTAAATAAAAAAAAATTATACATCCTTGAAATGTGTCTAGAAGATGCTATCAAAAGAGAATATTCAATCTCTTTTAATTTATTATTTTTTTTTCTCACCAGAAGTGAGAAATATCAATATTTCATTGACTTAATATATTTTGTCATTATTATGCAATCATGTTTTTCATATTATGAATTTGATAGAATATTTGTATTTTTATGATTGTGAAATTTATTTAAATACAATTGATTTTAAAGACAAAATCAAAAAAATTATAAAAATATTTTTATAATGGTCTAGAAGACATTCTCAAATAAAGACATTTTAATATTTTTTTCTCTCACCAGAAGTGAGAAAATGATGAAAAAATGAAAATGAAAGAATAAATTTTCTCACTAGAAGTGAGAAAATGATATGAAAAGTGAAAAATAAAATAAATTTCACTAGAAGTGGAAAAAAATTTGATATAAATATATTACATAGAGTTTGATCCTTTGATACAAATGAGGTCATCACCAGAAGTGGAATAATTTTGTAAATGTCATAATTATAATGTTGAATGATATTTGAGACACATATAAAAATTATGACTAGCGAAGCGTGTCCTCAAGCCTATTTAGGTTTTGTGTGATGTCTTGAAAAGATTATGAGTTTTCCTACATTTGTAATTTGATATTGTTCATGATTAAATTGATTGAAATAAGCAACTTGTCATGTAATTGAACTCATGTGTTACGTTATTGAATCTTAAAGGGTTTGGTTTCAAATCCTATTGATATAATTGATATTATTTATTTTTATAATATTATGCGTCTATTATTTTAATTGATGGAGATATCATTATGTTATAATTTGATTGTGATTTGTACAAAAATACTAGAATTTAATGAAATTATTATCAATGTTTATTTCCTTATTTTTTTGATACAACATTTATAAGGAGAATAATTTCCTTTATATATATTATTGTATGGAATATTTATTTTATAGTATACTAATTGAGGTTGTGTATGATGAAAGAAGTGGTCTTCGTAGCTTGATAAACCAAGTTTACATTTTTGTTGAAAAATATGTCCATATTAGATATTCGACTGTGTATAGTACAAGATTATTTTAAAAAGAGAATAAATATGAGAAATTAAAAAAAAAAAAAGTTTTATGAGTGTATTTATTGACATTTTAGGGTTATGGAAATGAGTTGAATTCATTAACGGAACTTGCACAATTGTATAATTAATCACCCAAAACAAGCTTTACGTTTTATTGACCTATTTAAATTTAGTGTTTCTACTTTTTAAGTTTATTTTATGGAAACTTGTTAAATGTGTCCACAGTTGGAAATATAGTAATCTGAAAATAATAAGTATCCATTTCGACAAGCAGATTATTTAAGTCTTGTATATCTACCTAAAACACGTTGGGATGATATTTTACCAGATTGTTAAAATTTGCGGACTGATATTTTGTCAAATTATTTGGAATTAGATATTTTTGGTGTAATACATTTTACCTGTAAGAATAAGACAAGTTTTATCTCTAAAAAACAGATAACCTTAGCTTCTTAATTTAAGCTTAGTAATTTATGTCTCAGACTCGAGATTGAGAAGACATTGCAAAATTTACAAAGTAGGGTTCATAATTTGGAAAGTCCTTCTTTTTCCTAAAGCTATCATAGTAGGATTCACCAGTTAAAAGTAAAATAAATAAATAAATAAAAAGCTACCAAACTTGAACTAAACATATTCACAAACTATTTAATTCCATTTATGTTGTTTGTTATATTTCAGATCAATTACCAACTAATGCAAGAGAAGGTTCAAGTCCGTTTCTGGGCCTTTTGGATTAATCTGTTTGCGTTTTTGCACATCACTTTTCACAATTTGTTGTTTGAGTTTTGCGGATTGGGTTTGGACCTTGACCCCTCCCCCTGTTCCTTTTATACTGTGTTGGATCATGGACTGATTGCTACTTTGTAACATAATAAAGTGTAACAGTAGTTGACAAAAAAAAAAGTGCAGTAGTACAGTGTCGATCTCTTTCAACTCTTAATTTATGACTAGAACTTGTGTTATTTAGTATGAACAATTAGGTATAAAATTAAAAAAAAAATTACAATCAATCATTGGATGAGAGAGGATATATGAAATGGCTAGAAATACACAAGAAAGTAAACGGAATTTAATATCAAAGTCATTTTGTAGTATTCATGCGGATAGAATTTGTACAAAAATCATTTTTCAATTCCAAGTTAACTCTCCATTTCATAGTTTTTCAAACTCTTTATTTCACCAACTTCTTTTTATATTCACTCAACTGTTTATTATCTTCGTCTCAATTTGTCTTTTGTTTGAGTTGAATCCTAAAGTATCTAATCGGGCTAAAATTTACCATAGGAAAGTTAAATGACATGTGTGCACTTTTGAAAACGATGCAAGTGATTGTGAGTTCCGTTTTGTGATAACATTTTGTGATGTCCCGTTCTAGTTGCGGGGTATCAAAGCCTTCATGTTGTCTTTTTCATTCCTCTTTTTGTAATGTCTTCTTGAAATTGTTTGTCACGCAATAATGAGATATTGATCTAACAGATTTTTCCTATGGATAGCAAATACTTATCACTGTTTATCAACTATTTGAACTTTAACTATGACAATACTCGGGCACAATAGTGAAACATCAAAATCAGGATTTGGAACTTAATTGGATATAGTATGTACTCTTTTATTCACTTGCACTTGTGTCAGTTCTAATTGTAAATACGACTCCATGAATTTTCGCATTGAAAATAACAAAACGAATGATCCTAATAAGAAACGTAGGATTGCAATTAGCTTTTACTTTTCACGAGAGAATTTGGGATGAGGAGCATCCTACGCAACTCCTCACTGTTGGTAGCTGATGCACAAACTTTTCTTACAAGTTTGGAACAATAGCCCAATTTCCCCTAGAAAACACACAAGATACAAGTGTCTCTTGATACTAGGTCAAAGAATATAATGGAAGCACTAAACACAACTATAAACTAAAACTATCATTGTAATTCATCATCTTTTTTGGGATACGATAGTAAAAAAGAGAAGTCATCCAAATCCTACCAAATAAGGTGCTAACATTAATAACCAGTCGGGAAGACCAACAAATCTAAAGGTGTAATTCATCATTTAAGTTCTACCAGTGAACCCTTAAAAGTGCTATAACTTTTTTTTTATCAAAAAGGAAAGTGTTATAACGTATATGAAATGCAACCACAGCTATTATTCACTGAGAAAAAATAATTATAATTATAAAAAAAATATACCTTTAATTTGGTAATAAAAGATAAATTTACTCTAATTTTTGTCGACATTCATTTTTATTATTTTATTTTATAGTATTTTGTACGTTTATTTTATTGAACTGATTATGCTTTCGAATTCAAAGTTCACTACAGATTCTGATAGAATCCATGTTATGGTTTCATTTGATGGCATGGAACTTATTAGACAGAACATATTTATGCAAATAACTCAAACATTCCAAAATTTCGCCAAACATAGCCATGATTGTCACTGTGGGGTCGTGTCCGTACTTTGAGATCGAATTCCCTCTTAATTAAAAAATGTGAACCCTCTGATGAAAAAAGTAGAGGGATCTTGATCTTGTAATCAGAAGTTAAAATTACGAGGTGATTGTGATTTAACAAAAAAAACTTTGCTTCCATTCACAAACAATTTTCTTATAACAGCAAATTTGGAACGAACCTTTTATCAAATTCACTAAAATATAAATAGATCAATCAAGGTTTAGGCATAAAAATAGTAATTTCAAGTCTACATGAAATAGAATATTGTAAACAACCTACAATTTTTGAATGACAACTGAGTTGGCTATACCAGCTTGCTCTATAGTCTGGTCCAAATCAGCTAGTTGTTTGGGAGGAAAACCCATTGTCTGCAGTTGGTAACTTCTTGCTCCCCCTGGTCTTGATGCATCAATGAATGCCCGAACATCTCGGATAGTATGGTGGTGATTGAAGCGAGAAACCATGCGAGTGCCATCCGCTAACCTCAGCTGGATTGATGTCACTGGCTGTGCCTCATCTATAATTAAACCCAATGTAGGCAGTGGAGCAGTATTTGGTGAAGCAGCAGTTGTTTGAATAGGCTCATCACTGCTGGAGCTGGTGCTGCCTAGAGTCCTTCCAACACCGTGGAAAGCAAGATGGCGTGGCTTCACAGGTTCCTGCATGCATATTGGTAAAAGGAAAAAAAGGAAAGGTTAAAACCATATATAAAGTGATAGATAACAAATCCAAAGCACACTAAGAAATTAGAAAAGGGGCATACAGGGTAGTCTTCATCCCTCCTGGTAAGGTTGACATGGACAGAAGTCCTCCTATCAGCTGGCTCAAGCTCTTTGGGACATTCAGACTTCTTAATGCTCTGTGCATCCATGTCAACAAAACAATAAGCATAAGCATATAATAATAATAATAATTCTCCAAAAGAGACAAGAAGTAGCAAATGGAGAAGGCATTATTAACTATCAATAAATTTAGAGCACACTTGAAAGAAATTATTTACCACTTATATAGGCTTATTTTATGGTATGGTATTTGAAAGAAGCGACAAAAGTAACTTGCAAAAATGGCTTACAAGTTAGAAAGAAACAAGTTAACCCTATTTCCTCTTTAATCAGCTGATACAAGCTCACACAGTGACACACATGATGAATTTGAAGAAGAAGAAGAGGTTTTGGAAGGAAAATACCTCGAGAAAGGGTGCATTGAGGGGATCATCCAAGGTCCTTAGAGGACCATCATTGACAGAGAAGCCGTTCCTCCAGAAGGTGACAGTGTGGGTGAGTTCCTGGACAGGGCGAGGAGCAGAAGGGAGAGTCTCTCCGGAAAGCAACCTGGCAGTGCCACTGAAGCTCCTCGACCTGGTGGAACTGTTGGAAGGCGCTTCAACCGCCACCTCTCGCGCTTGCTCAAAAATATCATCCACACTGTTACCCCCCTTGCTAGGATCACCAACAACCATTCCACTGCACACACTGGATCCCAATCAGCAATAATCTCGCACAATTCCAATTAATTAAATATAACGAAGCATTAGGCACCTCTTTTCGCCGCCGGTGTAGTACTCGTCGGGCTCGAAATCGGGATCGGAGTCCGAGTCCGAGTCAGGGCGGGAGGTGCGCTTGAGATCGCCGAGCGTGCGGACCTTGGCGTGGCGGCTGCCGGAGGGCTTCTTGGCGAGGGAGCGGCGGGATCGGAGTTCGTAGGGCGTGCGAGACGGAGAAGGCGAGGGAGAGAGGGAGGGCGAGGGTTGGAAGTCCGGGGAGGGGGAATCGACAGTGGGGTTAGGGGCGACGTTGTCGTTTTGGGGGATTGGAGCGTTGTTGTTGTTGTTGTTGTCGAGGAAGGTCAAAACGGCAGCGTCTAGGTCAAAGTTGTGGCTCTCGAGGAAGAAGAGGGCTTCTTGTTTGGAAGAGGAAGTGATTTCACAGAAGGAGTTCACCAAAGCGGCGTTGCCATCGTGCTTTTCGTTCTCTCCTTCCATATTCTCTCTATTTTTTTTTTTTTCTTTCTTCCTCGTTCACTCTCACTTGGTGTTGTGTCCCCACTATATATACACAGACGCTACCTCAGTTGCCTCGCAATCACGCATACGACACCGTTTTCTACACTTTTTCATGTTTCTTTTTTCTTCTTATTTCAGCTTCCGAACGCACTCGTTTCTGTTCTTCTATCCAATCATCTCCGGTTCTCTCCGTATCAATTTTGAATATTGCATACTTGTCTAGGAAAATAATATATTTTTAAACCATTTTATGCAAAATTAAATTTAATCTCTGTTTTACTACATAATATATATATATATATATATATATATAGGGGAAAAATTTTTTACCTACCTCAAGAATAAGCTGAAGTAAACTTAATTTATTTAATAATTCATATTTTACATCAAATTTTAACAATTTAATCATTAAATTAAAATTTTTTAATA